ACAGAACAACACAAAGGATTCAGAGTTTTTACCATCCCTTCTTTATTTTGGGAAAAAAATATACAAATGAGTTCTAAGTAAACATCCACCTTTAAACAGACTGTTAAACGAGACAAAATGTCCTTATATTACTCTTTTCCCCTATTGTGAAAGCAAGAAATAGAGAGCTACCATGCTTGGATAATTCCCTGCAATTCCTGTGAGAGAACAACTGAAACAGCTGCAGACCCTGGAAATACCAATAAAAAAATGCAGATGGTCAGACAGACAAAAGCACTTTTTTTTCCCCCCCTTTTCTTCATTTTTTCAAACCACCAAAGAACAACATTACAAAGAGGCAGAAGGAAGGGATGTGTGTCTGTTTCCACAGCACCCATGCAGGCATTAGAATCATTCAGTTCCAGGTACACCAGGTACTCCAGACACTCTTTGAGGGACAGCAATTTGCTGATCAGCACAAGTGACATCCCAGTTAAAATCAAAGAAACAAGAACAAAGAGGTATTGCCACAGTTTTCAAAGAGAAAACCAAGATAAGCATGGACAAAATATGATGTGGCCAATGGAGCTCAGCCCCACAGATCACAGGCACAGCCAGAGGCTTTCTCCAAGCACATGGAATGAAGAAGGGTTCCCAGCAGCCACTGATGTTGTAAAGGTGCTGGGCTCTTCTCACAGTGGTTGAACACGAGGGAATGGCCTCAAGCTGCACCAGGGGAGGGTTGGTTTGGACATTAGGAAGAACTTTTTCACTGGAAGGGTTGTCAGGCGTTGGAACAGCTGCCCAGGGAGGTGGGTGATTCCCACCCCTGGATGTGTTTAGCAGCTGTGTAGATGTGGTGCTGGGGGATATGGATGAGAGGAGGGTTTGGTAGAGCAGGGTTAATGGTTGGACTCGATGCTCTCAGAGGTCTTTTCCAACCCAAGTGATTCTATGAGTGACACCACCCCTAAGCAGCCCTACTGAGAGAAGCTTTTTTGAAAAAAGTTGCTCTTTGAAGGACACAAAACCCAAACCCCCCAGTCCCACCACAGCCCACGGGCACAAACCCAGTGACACTGTGTGTGCAGCACAGCCTCCTCCCCTCTCCAGACACCTAACCTGCTCCAGCTCAACTCAGCCAAAAACTGGCAGGAATTACCACACTACATCAACAGACTCTGTTGAAACCAGAAGTTACCTCTCCCAGAGAGGTTATTTTAGAAGTAATTAGGATATAATTTAAAAACAAGTTATATTTCCACCCCTCAACACACAGGGATAATGGAATAAATCCACTTTAGTTCAAAGAACATTTCCCCTCTGGAGTGGCACCAGTTTCTTGATTCCCTTATTTAAAAAGACAGTTAAGTTTATATTGTCTCTTTTCCCCAACAGGAAAAAAAAGAGAAGGGTAGATGCCAAAGGAATAGAAAACAAATACTAGCTACTAATGGTAGATCTATGGTTCTTCACAATGTCAAGCTCCAAACCAAAATGGAAAACCAAAGTGTAATTGGAAACCAAAGTACAACTGGGACAGGGCTGGGGGAGGCAGGAGAAGAAGAAGAGCTGATGTCAGAGCAGAACACATGAACATTTGATGAATCCAGGACCTCTAAAGGAAGTCCAATCTCTAGAGCATGTTTTCATTCTCATTTTGGCAAGTCTGCCTCTCCCAGAAACCACTGCCAGAGGTGAAGGCTGTGTCCTGGCAGGCATTCACTGCTGGCCTTTGCAGGGTCCCAGATAAGATGGGGAACATGACAGGTAGGGAGAAAGATGCTTGATGAGGTAAAACCACCTCCCCCTTCTGGAAACAGAAGAAAAGAAACAACACAAAAGGGTTTTTTCCCCCCTGCAGGTAGACATTTAAAACTTTTTTCCCCCAATAACACCTGCTAAGGATACAAAGCATCATCAAAACCACCAGGTCTGCTCCAAAGCTCTCGTGCGATTTCCCTTCTGAAAATAAACTGTTAAAAACTGGGATCAGACACCAGCTGCCCTGTTCCCTCAGGACAGGTTTATCACCCACACCCTCACAGGGTGCACACTCTGTTCCCCTTTTAACAGATTCACTGCTAAAACCAGCCTAAGCTCTAACCCTCAGAGAGCCGGGAGATCTGGCTCTCAAGGCGAAACCATCTCCCCCCGAGGTTTAGCTCCGATTTGCAAAGCCAAAGCTCCACCCCCATTCCTTCCACGCCCAAACCCACTCCCTTAGGGCCGGCCCCACAACCCGGCTGTTGTTGCCAGGCCTGGGGAGGGCTCAGTTTTTGGCCGGGCGGAGCTTCCTACGGAAGTAGTCGGGCGCGGCTTCGTAGAGCCAGTCGGGGTCCACGACGCACAGGTCCCGCATGTAGCGGCGGCTGGTGTGCAGCAGCCCGTTGTACACCACGCAGGCCGGCCTGCAGTGGAAGAGCACCGAGGAGGGGTGGATGGCCACCTCCTGCTGCGAGTCCAGCGTGCTGTAGGTGCCGTCGGGCCGCAGCTCGGCGGCGTTCATGAAGAGGCTGTGGGCCAGGCACCGGCGCACGTTGCCCGGCTCCGAGCGGGACGACTCCAGGGGCACGGAGAGCTGGAGGCAGCAGAGGGGGGAGGAGGTGAGAGGGGGGTTTGAAACTGGGCAGCGTGCTGGCAGGCAGCCTGGGTGTGGCTGGGCTACAGCCCCTGTCTGACTGTTCATGGTTTGGAGTCAGCTGGGTGTGGGTGTATCCAGACCGGCAGCCTCACGGTGTAAAGGGAAATTCTGCCTCCTGCTTGGGCTCCTCCTCTTCCCTCTCCTTCTCCTTCTCCCCATCCCTGGAGGAGCTCACTCACTGTTCTGCTCCTGAGGATGTTTCCCTCTTTAAAGTGGCCACTGTGTGTTTGCTGGGCTGAGTAGAACTTTGCCTACTGGCTCAAAGCTAGTGTGGCCAGCAGGAGCAGGGGAGGGATCCTGCCCCTGGACTGGGCACTGGGGAGGCCACAGCTCCAGCACTGGGGTCAGGTTTGGGCACCACAGGGTAAGAAAGAGCTTGAGGGGCTGGAGCAGGTCCAGAGAAGGGCAATGAAGCTGGTGAGGGGTCTGGGGAACATGATTGTGAGGAGGGGTTGAAGGACCTGGGGGTGTTTAGGCTGGAAAAAAGGAGCCTGAGGTGAGACCTTTGTGCTCTCTACAACTCCCTGAAAGGAGGTTAGAGTGAGCTGGGGGTTGGTCTCTCCTCTCAAGTTAGCAGTGATAGGACAAGATGAAATGGGGCTGAGTTGCACCAGGAGAGGTTTTGGTTGAATATTAGGCAGAATTTCTCCCCTGGCAGAGTGGTGAGGCCTTGGCCCAGGCTGCCCAGGGAGGTGCTGGAGTCCCCAGCCCTGGAGGGGCTCAAAACACATGTGGATGTGGCACTTGGGGACATGGTTTAGTGGTCATGGGAGTGTTGGGTTGACAGTTAGACTTGATGATCTTAGAGGTCTTTTCCAACCTTAATGATTCTATACTTAAACCCATTATTCAACTTGTGGGCCTCCTTTTCCTGATCCACCTTCTCTGCTGGGGAAGGGTCACTGGGTGGCAGGACAACCCCAGATGTGGGCTCAGTGTAGACAGCAGGAACCATAAAAAGTCCTCTAGGGATTCAGGCCAGGGAGATGTTAGGCTAACCCAGACTAACAGCAAACAAAAGATGAGCCATAAAGCAGATGGAGACTGTGCTGGGAGAGAGTGTCAGGACAGGTGGCAGTGGGATGGGTGCTGTAGAGCTCCCAGAGCTCCTGACCCTGAGAACAAACCCAAATGTTCTCACTCCTGGGACAAAAAGCTGCAAAATCAGTTTGGGGACAAAGAGAAAAACACAAAAGTGGTGAAATGGAGAAATACAACGTGGTGACAAGTTACCTTTACACAAATGTCCCTGAGCTGAGCTCTGACTTCTGACACAAGCATCATGTTCCTGCCATTGACAAAGTTCTCCTTGCACCAGTCCTGCAGCAGAGACATCAGGAGTCATGAGTGGCCATTCTTTCACCCAAAAAGCATGACAATCCTTGGATACTATGAAAAGCAGAGTCCTCCAAACACAATCTTTCTCAGAGAAAAGCTGCTATCCCATTTCCTTGTCCTATTTCTCCCCTTGATTACTCCCCTCTGTCTATGTCCCCTCCCACAGAGCTAACCCACAGCATGTTGTTGTTCTCTCCCCACTCAGCCTTGCTCTGCAAGGTCACTGGGTGCTGTGACACCACTTGCTGTCCCACAGCTGGTGAAAACAAACCATGCAAGAATGACAGATGCTGCAAGGAACAGGGCACCCAAGTCTACAGAACTACAAATCAAACAGAGAAGTTTATAGGGTAGGATAAATCAAAATCTGCTTGTAAATATGCTCAGGTTTCTGCAACAGACCCTGCCAAAGAGCTTGTCTAGGTATTTATCAGCAAGTTTCAACACTCTCCCACTCCCCCTGTTTCCAGCTGGAAGCAGGGAAGGATCCTGGCTCTGAAGACAGGACTGGCCTCATGAAGCACTGAGAACCAGCTCTGCTACAGCCTTCTGGAGCAGCCTCCAGCACCTGAACAGCTTTCCCCAGCCATCCAATTGTAAAGGATGGTAAGTCCTCTCTTCTCTTTGCTTTGGATCTTCCCAGGAAAGCACTTTTCCCAAGAAAGGCTGGGCCAGATGATCCTCAGGGTCCCTCCCAACCCAGAACCCTACGACGTACGTCGCGTGACCAGATGTCACCCTGCTGCATGCCAAAAACATCTCCTCACCCAGCAGCCCTGGCATCCCCAGAGCACCCCACCTTGTTGCCACTGACGTTTTTGAAGGCCCTGTAGATGCTGAGCAGGGTGAGATGATCCCCCTCACTGGAGATGAATTTCCTCCTGACAGACTGCACCTCCTCCCTGCGGGCAGGGGGGTTGTAGAGGACACTGTCCACTGACAGCAGTGACACGATGCTCAGGATCTCTTCTGTGCAGTGGAATTTGGGGGACAGGAGGATGGTCTGCAAACAAAACGGAGCTTGGGTCAACCAAAGGGTTGTGGATACACAGACCTTTCTGCTCACTGCCAGTCCAGGAACAGGAGCAAGCATGGTTTAGGACAATTTCATACAGTTTTGGGTCTAGAGACAACTGGAAACCCTCCTGTGGGTCCTGCAAGCACCTCTAACAGCAACTGTCATGTTTGTTGCAAGCATGGTTTAGGACAATTTCATACAGTTTTGGGTCTAGAGACAACTGGAAACCCTTCTGTGGGTCCAGCAAGCACCTCTAACAGCAACTGTCATGTTTGTTGCAAGCATGGTTTAGGACAATTTCATACAGTTTTGGGTCTAGAGACAACTGGAAACCCTTCTGTGGGTCCAGCAAGCACCTCTAACAGCAACTGTCATGCTTCTTCCTGGAAGAAAACCAGGGACTGCAGGGAAATCACCCTTGTTTCAGCTTCAGAGGTGTCAGAGGATATTTTAAATGATATTTTAAATGATATTTTAAATGATATTTTAAAAAATCTCCCCAAACTAAACAACAAATGACCAGAGCTGCTGCAAATAAAGCTTTGCTTCATCAACGTGTGGCAAATCCACACTGCAGTCACCCCAAATTCCAGACCTGGTTCAAGGAGTTTGAAAGAGATGTGCCAATGGTACTGGGAGGAGTACAGGAAATAAAAATGAGCTGATTTTGCTGTAGTTTTTACTTTGGAAAACTTTGGCTCCAGGGGAAAGGCTGCCATCTTCCTTCCCAGGGGGGTCAGGACAAGCTGATCTTCCTTTTGCTCCACAGCTCCCAGGAGTTCCAGCTGCTCAACTGCTGCTTGAATAGCATCTGGCAAAACAAAATGTGGAGGCTGTGAGGCCTCCTGCCTGGCACTGCCAGGATCAGCTGCTGCCATCCCTCACCAGAGGGACAAGTACTTTGTTTAAGAGAAATTAGTGCCCCAAGCTGCTGTTTATCCCCCTCTCTCCAGCAGAACAATCACCTTTTCCAATTTAAGGAGCAGAACCAGAAGCAAAACTAAAGCTGTGGTGTCTAGCTTGGAGCAGAGGCTGTGTGAGATGGCAGTCAAGGCACAGCTTCATCTGCCTCATGACTCAAACCTGCTCCCTGCTCTGTTTGGAGGCTGGACTCTCCAGCTCCCTGCTGCAACCATGGCTGCTCTGAGGAGACTGAGCACAAGCAATGATTCTGAGAGCTCTGGACCACCAGAAGATGCAGCAGAGAGGCTTTCACAGCTTTGACCCTCCATACTCCATCTTCTTTGGCTGGCTTGAAAACATTACTTTTAAGCAATTCTTCAATGATTCACTTGTCATTTTTTTTTTGTTCCAAAGCTGCCTTTGTAACCACTTACCAGGAGATGGTTTGGACATGAAGTCAAAGGTGAGCACATTGGGAATTCTCAGGGCCAGGAGCTGAAGTATCACACTGGCCAGGTTACACCTGCATAAAAAAATACAACCACCCAGCTGAGATTGTTCTCTCCCTTTATTTTGAATTCTTTTTTTTTCCTCTTTTATTTGCCTACAAGCTGAGACAGAGCCCTCAGATCTGTGCTCAACTTGACAGAGACTAGTCCAATGCTGGCTGGTAAAGGTTTGCTGCCTAAACAAGGAAGGGCAAGAGGTGAGTCCAAGATTTGGAGGAAAGTCAAGACAACTTGACTTTCCTCCAAAAAGTGTGTTCAGAGACTGGGAGCCCAACCTTCCAACCTGAACAAACCCTTCCCAGTTGTGTTTAGTCTCCACAGTTCCTTTCTCTTAAAAGCCAACCAGCCAGACCTCCTCTGTAGCAGCACATACAACAGCACGACAGCCTCAGGGTTCTGTCCTCACCTCTGGATCTCAGGTATTGTCATCTTCTCAAACTTCTCAAACTCCTCCTCTGTGTAGAGCCGGTAGCAGACCCCACTGTCCTCTCTCCCTGCCCTCCCTGTGCGCTGCCAAGCCTGGGCCTTCGACACCCTCTGCACTGCCAGCACTTCCAGGCCAGTTTCTGTGCATGGAAAAGCATCACTCCAGTCAATGGCTGTGTAAGGCACAGCTTTGAAAAAACATGTAGGATTAACAATAAAAAAAATCCCAGGTCTGCCACCCCCACACTGCTCAGGCTTTCCCTGGTTTAACCCCCTGAGGCAACCCTGTCACACACAGTGTCCATGAAGAGAAGATTCATACTGGACAGATTTTTTTGCCCCCACATGGCTGTTACCAAAAAAAAAACACCCCAACATCAAACCCCACACCTAAAACCTGAGATGTTAACTGAGAGGGTGCAGAGGGTGTTTTCAATCAGCTCCCAATGGGGCTGGTGGCCTCAAATAACTTCCACAAAACTGAGAACCCTCAGGACTCCTCACCAGGGCTGTACTTCTTGGCTTTGACCATGCCTGTGTCCACCACATACTTTATTCCTGGGATGGTGATGGAGGTTTCTGCAATGTTGGTGGAGAGGATCACTTTGCGACAGCCCTGGGAAGGAGAGCAGATGAAGCCACTCAAAAGCCACCTCAGATCAGCTGCAGAGAAGAAATGCTGCTGGTTTTTGCTGAGCCTGACCACCTGCCACGTGTTGTGACCACACACCATGCTTGCTGTGCCAGCTCCTGTGAATTAAGATCATTTCTACTTCCTAATCAGTTTCTAAAACACGTGCTGACACTTGCAACAAAATACACCCCCCAGGACAGCTGCCACCAAGGCCACCTCTAAACCACTTTGGTTTCCTTTCTGGCACAAGATCTGAATTCTTATTTATCTGCTGAGTACACAAGGGCCTCAGGCAGCACAGTTCCATTTACTTATGGCCATGTAAGGTGCCCACGTTTTTAGGTCTCTCAGCATTTGGCCCATTAATTGCAGTATTTTTGAGGGGATAGGTACATCAAATTCCTACAAAATGGGGCAAATTTCAATTCCTCTGCCTTTGTCACTCCCCTTAATCCTTCCAGCTTTCTGTGATCCCAAATGACTTATCACAACCATCACAGTTGTGTTACCTTCTATCCCACTGGAACCATTCAGCCTGAAGTCAGTGGATGGTGGAGACTCTTACAATCAGTACAGGCCACTTCAACCCCTTAAATTCCACATTTCTTCCAAACACTCCTGCAAACAAACTCACCCTGTTTACCCACCACTCCACCTCACCTTGGGGGCTGCCTGAAAGACACGGAGCTGCTGGGAGTAGGGCAGAGAAGCATAGAGGGGTATCACCACCATCCGTGGGCAGCCATCAGGGAGATGCTTGGCAATGTCTCGACAGGTTTTGGTCATGGCTTCAATTTCTTCTTGCCCAGTCAGGAACACCAGGATGTCCTGAGAAGGGGGAGCTTCCTGGAGACAGAGGGGAAAAGCAAGTGAGAAGTTAAAATGTTGTCCTAAGAGCAAGTCAGCAAAGCAGGTGTAGAAAAGACACACGTGTGGTGCAAGGTGTGCAGCAGCCTGGAGTTCCAAATGGACTCACCAGAGGTGAAGGGGAAACTGCATTTTGCAGGATTTATGAGAAGTTCAGATGGTTTGGATAGAGGGGGAGAATGGAGATTGTAACGAGGTGTTGTCCTAAGAGCAAGTCAGCAAAGCAGGTGTAGAAAAGACACACGTGTGGTGCAAGGTGTGCAGCAGCCTGGAGTTCCAAATGGACTCACCAGAGGTGAAGGGGAAACTGCATCTTGCAGGATTTAGTCTGAACAGGGTGGAGGAATCACTTGAAGTGCCATGGCTAGTTCATTTAACAACTGTGCAGGCTGTGCACAGCAGAGAGTCAGCCAGGACCCAGAACAAACCAGTCAACAGAGCTGGGGAGAGGAACTTTGAGACATGAGGTATGAGCTGACATCAGAAAGCTGAGCTTAGCAGCTTCCTTTCAACTCCAACCTCAGTGTCCAAATCCCCAAATCCTGACAGCAGCCTCTTCAAGGCATTAAATGCTGTTGAATTAAATGCTGTGACCCTTGGGCAGGTCTGTGTTCAAACGTTCAGTCCCACACCACCAATAAGCTGTCACCCTCAGGGATTTCTACTGGCTCTGCAGCTACACTTAGAATTAGCACCATCTCCACGCTACTGTTACCTTAGGCCTGGATTCTGTGTGACTGATCACTTCCAAACTTTCTTTTCCCTTTTGGAATGACACTGGCATTGTCAACCCCTCCCTTGAGTCAGTCCAATTCCCTAGCTCAGCATCCATCCACTCTTCCCTGCAGTGAGCACCTCAGGGATCCTGCAGTAGCAAGCTCAAACCATCTCTTCTACCACAGCAACCTGTGAGCCCTGATCCAAACCCACGGCCCCAGAGAGACCCAAACATGATGAGACCACCATACCTGATGGATCTGGAAGACTGAGACCAGTGCTGCTTGGAGGTAATCACTCTGAGGCTGTTTGGTGTTAAAGATCTGAATGGGATGCTGCCTGCCTTCTAAATAGAGAACAGGAGCTCCATTGAAGTACTTGGAAAACTGGTCCACATCCATCGTAGCTGACATGATGATCACCTTCAGAAGGAGCATGAGGTGGGTTAGAGCTGCAGTTTCAACCCAGCAGGACACTTACAAGTCAGGACTAGCCTCAAATCATCTTCCTGAGGCTGAGATACACGCTCAGAGGAGCCACAAGCACACAGGGTTTGGGACAGAAGAGAGCACAATCTCCTTGTTGCCCCCATCAGCTTTGCCACCACACAGGCAGGTGATAAAAGGAGTGAAGAGGAGCTGTCATTCCTTTCTGACATGTCATAAGGAGAGCTGAGTACCCCCAAAGCCAAGCTGTAGAATGCTCTGTGAATGAGACTGTGCTAGGACCCACCAGACCCCTACACCATTAAAACCAACATGCTTCCACATGCTTCATCATAGATCCCTGAATTTCTGCTGTGTCCACCCTACATGCCCATGGAATCTCCTCTCTCAGGGGACTACAGCTGTCACTTCAGGGAGCTCTGGTACCCAGGGTGTGCTCAGCAACAGCACCCAAACCTGCCCCAACAAGTCTAGACCTCACACCCCAAGGACTCTTAGGAAAAAGGGCATCGTGGATGTGACCAGACACCGTGTTTGGATGGGCCAGATCAGGCCCACCCACCCTAAGCTGGCCAGTCCTAACTGCTCAGATTTCAAAGGACTTTAAAAGGACAGTCAAAGCCGAAATTTCCAACGCTCTGGATAAACCCCAGGAGCTACTCCCAGCCCTCCCAGACACACGTACTTTTAGTGGCAGTTTCCCCAGCTCCTTTCTTTTCTTCTGGGCAGCTTTCACCACCCCCAGGAGCACCTCAGTGTGGATGGTCCTCTCGTGGGCCTCGTCCAGGATGACGACGCTGTACCTGCGCAGCAGCGGGTCCCCGATGGCCTCGCGGAGCAGCATCCCATCTGTCAGGAACTTGATCCTGGTCTCCTCAGAGCTGAGGTCCTCGAAGCGTACAGTGTAGCCCACCTGGGGAAGGGACCACCCCAGGCAGCAGTCACCTGCACCTCTCACCACCATCGTAGCACGTGGAAGGGCTACAGAGCACCCCGGGCAACCCAACCCAGAGCCAACCGCAACCCCACGGGGGCTCTGCAAAGCACATTGGAATTGTCCCAAATTTCCTTTCCTTCCACCCCTGCTAGAAACTATTCCACACTCTCTACAAATTTTAGGTAGGGCAACTCTTTCTCCTCCTCTTTCCCCCCACAGACAGAGCCCTGCACAAGCTCAGTGCCCTGCTCCCCCTGAGGGTGATGCGGGGAGCAATGGAAGAGAGCACAATATTTTTTGGTATATTCATTAGCCAGTGTTTTTTCGTGTGGAGGAGCATAGCTAATGATCAAGAAGTAAAACACCATACAGAGAGAGTCAAATGCACTCCCCCTCTGAGTCCCTGCAGCAGATCAACAGCCATTTGTTTCCATTCAGGCACATTATTCATTGAAGACGACCTCTTACCCCTGTGACTGCTCTTTATCTTACCCTGGGACTGCCCCATCAACACTGCAGCATGAAACCAAGTCCCTGAAGACTCTGCAAAGCCACCTACCAGTCTCCCCAGCTCTGTTGTCTTCTCACTGGAGACTCTGGTAGCCAAGGCTATAGCTGCTACTCTCCGTGGCTGGGTGACGGCAATGACGCCTTGGCGGCCAACTCCTGCTTCATAGAGGTACTGAGGGACCTGGGTGGTCTTCCCTGAGCCTGTTTCTCCTGAGGAACATCAAGGGAGATGTGGAATATCACAATATCAATAGTTTTGCCCCTTTTACAGCACCTTCAGATGAAAGGTTTCAACTCGTCTCGTTAGGTTCATTTTCAAGTGTGTGGAATCCCTGAAGGTTTTGGGCTGGAAAAGATGTTTAGAAGTCACCTAGTCCAAGCCCCTGCAGTAAGCAGGGACAGCTTTCAGGATGAGGAGGATGAAGATGCAGAGAGGTCCCACAGCCTGCCCAAAGCAGGGCTCACTGGGCACAGTGGGAGGTGGTGTGAATCACGCTGGTGTATCCTGGTGTGTGTTTAGCAGCCACAGGGGCACGCTGAGGAGCCTGCAGAGGAGATAAACTCAGCCCTGTCTGTCAGCTGCCAGGACTGGGGTGGGTTTTAAGGGCTCATTTATCATGGGAAATACAAAACATTTTTCATTTCATTCTAATAAATGTCAAGACTTTCAGCTGCCAAGGGGGAAGTTATGAATGACTTCAGCTCCTGAGAGTCAGAAAGGCTGAGCTCAGAGAAAGCCTAACACGTGAATGAATAACCCTCAACATGCAGCTGAGGAGATGCTTCTTCTGAAGAGCACTTGGGTTCAAGTTGCCTGAACTCCAGGCAGATGGTGAAACAGAAAGAAGGTTTTGCCTGCTCCATAAAATCTAAAGTCATCAGCTGCCTTAACGAGACAAAACTCAGGAATAAAAATATTACTGATTCATGATACTTCAGACTTACACCCAAAGTTAAAACGCATCTTAAGAGTCATGGAATCATTCAGGTTGGAAAAGATGTCTAAGATCAAGTCCAACCATCAACCCAACACTGCTGTGGCCACTAAACCACGTCCCCAAGTGCCACGGCTACACGTTTTTTGAACCCCTTCAGGGATGGTGACAGGGATGATGAACAACTCCTGAGCAGCCTGGGCCAAGGCCTCACCACAACTTCAGGAAAGAAATTCTTCCTAAGATCCAATCAAAACCTCCCCTGGTGCAACTTCAGCACACTGCCTCTCATGCTGTTTGTGGTTACTTGGGAGAAGAGACCAACCCCCATCTCACTCCAGGCTCCCCTCAGGGAGTTGCAGAGAGCACAAAGGTCTCCCCTCAGCCTCCTCTTCTCCAGGCTAAACCACCCCAGGTCCCTCAGGCTGTCCCATTCCCCCTGCACAGCAGGACCAGCCTGAACCCTGTCCTGGGGACACTGACCACCTTTCTCAGGACACCCGTGACCACAGAATCATCAAATGGTTTGGGCTGAAGGGACCTTTCA